CCCCAAAACCCCAAAACCCCAAAACCCCAAAACCCCAAAACCCCAAAACCCCAAAACCCCAAAACCCCGTAACCAATGAGAATTATTGATTATAGATTTTTAGAATTCATTGATTTTAAAAACTAATTGTGGGGCCTCCTTTCTCAATGACTTCTTGTGGAGTCTCGTCTTCGTACTTCTTGAAGTTACTCTGGAATTGTTCAGCAAGTTTTCTTAGTTGAGTCTTGAAAGCATCCTTGTCTTCCCAGGTATTTTCTGGCCAGAGGATATCATCTGGGATTCCTTCAATGTGGGATGGAACAGCCAAGTTAAAGACATCAAATTGATTGTATTCAGCACCATCAAGCTCCCCTTGGTGAATAGCATCTATCATTCTTCTTGTGTAGCTAAGTCTCATTCTGGTACCCTTTCCAAATGATCCTCCGGTCCATCCAGTGTTGACAAGCCAGACATTGGTGTTGTGTTCCTCAACTTTTTCAGCAAGCATCTTTGCATAAGTAAATGGATGCAATGGAAGGAAAGCTTCTCCATAACAAGCAGAGAAGGTGGCAACTGGATCAGTGATACCAACTTCAGTTCCAGCAACTTTTGAGGTGTATCCAGAAATGAAGTGATACTTAGCCTGATCTCTATTCAACTTAGCAATTGGAGGAAGGACGCCATAAGCATCGCAGACAAGGAAAAAGATATTTTTGGGATGCCCTCCAACAGCTGGAATCTTTGCACCTGGGATATACTCAAGTGGATATGCACACCTAGTGTTTTCAGTCAATCTTACGTTATGATAGTCTACCTCTCTCCTACTATCTTTAGAAAAGGCGATATTCTCAAGGATTGCTCCGAACTTAATGGCATTGTAGATCTCTGGTTCGCTTTCTTCTGAAAGATCTATGCATTTAGCATAGCATCCTCCTTCAATATTGAAGATTCCTTTCTTAGTCCAGCAATGTTCATCATCTCCTAGCAAGTGTCTGTGAGGATCAGCCGAAAGAGTGGTCTTACCAGTTCCTGAAAGCCCAAAGAGGATAGAGATATCTCCATCTTCTCCTTCGTTAGCAGATGCATGCATGGAAAGAATACCTCTCTTTGGCATGTAATAGTGCATAACACCAAAAAGACCCTTCTTCATTTCTCCAGCATATTGAGTACCAAGGATAGCCATCTCACCTTTTCTAAGGTTTACAGCTACAGAGGTCTCACCAGTAACTGAGTTGTTTCCTGGATCAGCTGGGAACTCACCTCCATTAATGATAGTGAAATCTGCTCCATCTTCAAATTCCTTGTCGATTTGATCAGGAGTAGGTCTGATCAACATTTGCTTCATAAACAAGGCATGGTATGGCCTGTTACAGAAGACTCTGACAGAGAAACGGTTTTCTGGATCCCATGAGGCAAGTCCATCAATGACAAAAACGTATGGCCTAGTGTTTAGGTAGTCCATAGCTCTAGCTCTATTAGCGTCGTATCCATGTGGAGTGATAGGCTTGTTCACATCTCCCCACCATATCTGGTCTTGAGTAAGTTCATCGTAGACTACTCTCTTGTCTTTTGGAGATCTTCCCATCAAGTGACCAGAGTAGTTAACAAGGGCTCCAGTTGAGCTGATGACAGTATCTCTAACTCTCCTATCATGAGATTCTCTAAGTTGAGGAAGCATGGCATATTCATAAATCTCGGCGACACTATAAGAAATTACTGGTGAAAATCGAACATATATGAAGTACTCACCTTGGGTTTCTAACAACATGAGTGTTAGTCAATCCTGTAGCTCTGATAGTGTCATCGATCTCTCTATGGTGCTTATATCTTTTTCCAATGCCCTTCTGAAGGGCTCTTCTAATGTTGCTTTGCATCATCTTTATTTAATGTATTATATATAAAACCTCCTTAACCTCAAGCTCTTTACAGCTGATTGGGGTTTTGGGGTTTTGGGGTTTTGGGGTTTTGGGG